TAATGAATTGGGTCACCAAAGATTACATCCTTAGAAAGCTTGATAGCTGGTTGCCACCAGAGAAAGACGGCCATGAGTAACTCAAAATATTACTGCATTCCACATCTACCTGTGCCCAAAAATTGTTATTGCCTCCTTAAGATCCAACGCATCCGGAACTGGGATCATGGGGCAAAAGGAGAGTTGCCACAGTCTCTTTTTATGTTGGAGCTGGAAAGCAAGGAACCCACTCTCTGCTGGCAGCATTCGCTGGAAGAGTTACTTTGGGTGGTTGCTTGGAGTAGGAGCAATAGCAGCTATTCATAAAAACTGTGCTTCRCAATCAAAAACTGTTTTGGAGTGAACTTTGCAAAGCCAGCAGTCCCTGGGTCCGGTCACCCCGTGTCAGTGCTGACAGAGMGGCTTCTCCTCTCACAACACACCCRCAGTTCCSAGAGCATCAGCACTAACATCAACTCTCGCGGGTAGCAATGCACACCCCACAGRCACCAGCACTTCACATCTGCCACTAGAACCGCTCCGTAAGCTCCTGCCTTTCCGAGGGTTTGCCACCATCCTTCCCTTTGTCTCCCAGACTGTGTGATCACCTGTGAAGGTGCCATCTCGAGGGAGGGGGGAGGAGGGCCTGACRCTGTTTTCTCTTTATCTTTCTACACACAGTCATCGTTACTGGTGCTGGGCACCATCTTGGAAAGGCTGTTTCCACCGTTTTGGGTCTCTCTTTATTCTGGAGGCATAGGTGAGACTTAGCAATTTTGTATCAAGTGATTATTTACTGCTATTTTTTGCATTTTACCATTTCACTTTTTAACMAACTGTTATTTTTTCACTTATGTCTACTCATACTTTGTTTCCCCTTATCGGTGAAAAGGGATTGGTTAAAACAAAGGAGGAAAACTCATTTAAGAGTATTCCCTTTAAATTGTCTTAAACCAAAAGAAAGATTCAGTCAAGAAAACTACAGTATTCAATTGCAACTGGATACAAAGTAGAACAGGAAAATATGTACAAGAYATATATTTGAGAAGGGTCTACTCATTAGTCAATCGTTCAACTGGTAAGAAGCTTTAGAAAAAGTTTCTGAGAGAAACAATGTATTCTGCCATATACAAAAGTTTTGAAACAACTAAAACAATCAACAACTAAACTGAAGTACTAAAATATCAGCTTGGGTATGAATTAAACTCTTAGAAGTTGGACTTTTCAGGACAGGTTAAAACAGTCTTTGAAAAAAGGTGGAAGTTTAAAGTTCTAACTTATATCTTGTCACTATAAATAGGTAATGCTAAGGTGATTTGTATCCAGAAGATTCTACTTGTAGGCAGCTCTAACTATCATTTAAGAGAGAAACACACAGTGGAAAACARGATTTTAACTTTCTCAGAACGTTTCCTCCAATAACCTATATTTCCCATAACCAGCTCACTCAATTTAGACAATAGCTCTTATAAAGAAGCATAGAATCTCAGAAGAACTTGAGTCCATAGCTGAAGGAAAAGCAGAAGAATATAATACATAAGTAACAAAGAAAAACACAAATTATTAGCAAATAAAAAAAAATCAGGTGAGAAACAAAGCAAGAAAGGTGGTACACTTCCAACAGAAAAGCACAACACTCAATATACAGAATTATCAGTCCAGTGACATATGTGTTAAAAAGATCAAAGGAACTACGGATCAGTGATCCAATACTGGCAGAGATTTATCGTGCTTAGTGCTCAAAATCACATTTTGATAATCCTCAGGTCATCCAAATACCCTGCTGTTAAATGRGAACATGTTAGAAGACAACTGTTAAGGATGTAACAAATACCTTAAGAATAAAGAAATGAATAATACATTGGTAATTGCCAGGCATGAAATACAAAGCACAGCACTAACAGAAAAAGAACAGCAATTGGATACACAAGTTTTTGCAAAATAACTGAATTTTAAGCTAAGTAGACTAAATCCATGTTGTGTGTAAAGTTACAGGATTGTAAAATGAATGAATGTAATTCTGGATGCTTAGATAAAAATACTTACAAACAGTATGAAAAGCAGCCTCATACTTTTATACTTTTTTTTTTTTTAATGTCAGACGTTTTGACATTAATAAATCACATGTCAATACTTCTTTGAAGTAATAATCTCACCTGCTAAAGTAATTCAATAATAGTAAAGTACAAACTACCCTGTTAAAAATTTATTTAGATTCACAGGTCAGGTTGGCAACCATCACCCACCATACCTATGTGTTAAATCACGGCAATTGTTTCGCAGAAATTACAACTTACTCTTAGGGAGAAACTGCAGAACAAGAGTAGGCCCTTTCACAAAATACAAAAAAAACATTTTATACAAATTAGGAGCATAAAATATGAGACTTGAGGAAATAAAACAGCTGAGGAAGGAACCAAGAGATAAGACAGCATTAGAAAAAAACAGCAGATTAATGCAGAAATCCAAAGACTCTCAAGATCTATGAGGCAGTAGGAACCAGAAATATTTGAAAACTGTCAATTTATGTATTGCATTAGCAGTGGAATACCAATCTTTCCCAAGGAAAGATTGAAAGTGCAAGGTGAAAGCAGCTACTACGGATGTTAGCACTTTCCAGTTTGAATCAGCAACTGTTACCATATAATAATGAGAAACTGGCTATGGACACTTTCATCACACTGCAGGTACCATGACAGATTCTGGAATATTTTCTTTAAAAGACTGAATTAGAAAGTTGAGGTGCGTGTGGGCCTTTATTTGATTCTGGCTTTCATAAAAGCAGCCAGAAAGTCCAATCAGACCCTTTTTGTCCTACAAGAGAATAACAAAAGTTCTAGATTATAAGAAACTTACTCCACAGTTACAAAACACATCACTGAAAAAGCCTCCCCTTTAAGATKCCATACAAGTTTAAAAATCTCTGCAGCTGGCCTCTTTCACAAGATAAGGCTTACAGGGAATGCTGGTTTTCCACATCGTAACATGTATCTGAATACACTTTCCTTACTGCTAAGGCAAAAAGTGGCCTTAGAATTATTATCTATCTTATGCATCAACCTGCTATGAGAAATAAACAGAGAAAACAAAGAAATATCACATTCGCAGAGAGATCTGCAGACCTCCTAAAAATATACTTAAGACAAGAATTAAAAAGAAAAACCTATATATTAATTTATCGCTCATATAGAAGACTTTAGCCTTCTCCCTGGATGCACAAACAAGATTCAGATCTACCAGCAAAATTCAGAAGAGGACATCCTCATATTATCACGTGAATAACAAGATAAAGAGTATGATGAATCTCCTAAGTGAGGAAGCAGCTACTGCAGCTAACCTTTGGTTTTCAGTGTTCACCACACCTGGGCCGGCTGCTTTAAAAAAAAAAGTAATTAATTTCTTAAATAAACCTACACTGTTAGTTGCACATTATGGTTCAGGAGTCATCAAGTTCTGAACAGAGGATTCAACAGATCTTTCGCAGCATCAAATGAGAGGACTGGATAGTACAACGTATCAGAAAAGCCCAGTCTTTTTTGGATAAATTTGTTTTCCCTATTACAGACACTCATGTACCTATGGATCTTTTTTGGATGAATTTGTTTTCCCTATTAGAGACACTCATGTGCCTATGGAGCTGTCTTGGAAGCAGGTTCCTAAAAATAGTGACTGACCTGGAAAACCAACCCAAATACTAACGTTCTTTCAAGACAAYTTTGTAAGGACAGAAAAAGAGAATATGTGTATGTGTGTGCATGCATTCACACACAAAAACACACACTCTCTCCAAGTTTCATTAGCATCAAAGTGATAAAGCCAAGTCTAAGCTCCTTAGACATATGTTGTCATGGAAAGTGGTTTCCCAAGTTGCAGCAGTACTGTGCAAGGTGAGCTGAGTTCCCAAAATGCAACTCAATGCACCCCCTGAACCACAATGCTTTAGAATCACTTCTTCTCTATAACAGGGCAATTCTCTCAGCTTGATTTTTACCTTACACACTTTATTGAAAAGATTTCACTGGACACTTTAAAAGCCTAAGTTAATGCTGCCTCTTCATTCTCTCACTGTAAGTTACACACAGCGTCAGTTTCTTCCGCCACTCCTGTGGTTAAGACTAGCAAGGTTCATTCAGGAAGCGTGTGAATGATGTTGTGCTTCGCTTATTTCGCTTTCTCGCRAAAGTAGGTACAGCATCTGACCCCCTACATTTTTCTGTATTATTTCTGGTGATTTTAGAGACAGCACAACTCTTTGCCCCACAGAACCCAATTTGCTTCCCTGTCCAATTCAGCACTAGCAATCCCTCCCGGAAACCTGGAAGGAAAGTGAAAAACCTTGCAACACCCCTTAAAACTCTGTCGCTATTGGTAGTAAAAATATTTTAGCAATGCAAACTGCTGCGTGGAGCACATCCTTTCATGTACACCTTTGTATCCTAGCCCATGATTATTTGAAAATGCCTTGGTCAATACTGAACAGCTCTGGTGAGGAAGCACATGAATGGCCATRGGTAAGAAGATGATCCCTTATTCAGTTTCAAAGTGAATACAGCAGCAGTTAGAGAATTATGGGTCCATAAAGAACCTTCTCAGTAAGCRCCAGGGTCCATGGTATTGCAGGATGGATTCTACCCTTGGCCTCAGCCACAGAAGTTCGCTGAGCTAAACGGCTTAATTCACATCAGAAGACCTACTTGGTGTGTAAGAGGCTCATGAAGGCGCCGAGAGCTTTCACTTGCACGTGTCGGGGGCTGGGGGAAACGTTCTTTATTTTGTGCCAACTCCTCAAGTCAAAGAGGGTGGAGCAGTACCTGCTCCCAGCGGCTTCAGCGAACTGTCGCTTGCCGTCGACGACTGTGTGCATGTGTTGGTGATTTTGTACCGTGTGGGGCCTGAACTGGGGCACCGGTGGGGCTGGCGGAGCGACCCCCGCGGCCCCTCGCCCGTCCGCAGCGAGCCCGCAGGCCGCCGCCGGGGAAAGAGCCGCCGGGGCCCCGCGCCGGAAGGCGGGAAGCACTTACCTAGGAAACTTCTCCTTCAGCTTCCTCAGGCTCTGSCGGGTGGGCTGCACGTGCCCCAGGAACTGGGCTATCTCATCGTACTGGGCTTTGCTCAGCTTCATGCCTCACACCGCCGGCGCCGCGCGGAGGCGGCGGGAGGGCCGCGGGCCGCGCCGGACGGCGAGAGGCAGAAGGCCAGCGACGGCRGGGCGGGGAATCGCAGCAATCCCGGGGCACCCTTTACTCCCAGCCCGGGGCCGAGGCGGCCACGGCTGCCGCTTCCCGCAGCTCCGCCCCGCGTCCCGTCCGGGGCGGTGCGAGATGGGCGGTGCGAGCGGSCAGCCCGAGCCGCTCTGCTCTGCGCAGCCGCTGCGGCGGGCGGGAGTGCGCGGCTCTGGCCCGGCTGCGTCTCTGCGCCTGCTGGGCCGCTTTGGCGGAGCTGGGTGGTGGGAGCCTCCCTCCTGGGGATGTGCCCTGTTTGGTGTCCCGCGAGTCGCTTCTAAAGAGCCGCTCTGGAGCTGCGAGGAAGGAAGGAGCTGGCGGCGCGGCCCCGGCCCCGGCCCCGGCCCCGGCCCCGGCCCCGGCCCGCAGCGGGCAGAAGAGACCAAGGCGCCGGGTCTCACTCGTGCACGGAATTGCCTGCTCTGGGGCGCGAGTTGCGAGCTCTGCTGTATTACGGCTTAAAAGTGTAATTTACAAGGCCCTTTCCATAAGTCATGCTGAAATGACTCTTACCGTTCAAAGGGGAAATAAAAGCTGTATCTGCAGATCTGCAGATGCGGACAGGGCTTGCAAATTTTTAGATGCCCAGGGTGAAGGTTCCTGTTAAATTTTAGGAAAAAAAATCCAAGTTTGGGCTTGGATTTACTTCAAAATTTGCAAGCTTTAGTTTCTGTGACGGGCGTTTTTAGTAACGATAACAATCTYAAAAATCCGTGTGCTCTCCTGTAAACAACATGTAAAGACTAGAGATGAAGAGAACTGACCATGCAGGTGAACAAGAAATAAAAGTGCTCCCTTTGATTTTGATTTGTGTTCATGAGCTACCTACAGGCATCCTAACCTTGAGGTTTCAGGCACTTAAAACTATGGATTAAGAACCRATCTTTTAAATTTATAGATTTTAGCTTCCCTTGCTTTCTCTCTTGAAAGCTTTAGGATCACATTTTGAGCATTTTTCGGCATCTCAGCTAGGCACTTTACAACTTGTTTATTGCAAGAGAACTTGCAAAAAAATCTRGAACTTGAATGAAGAGTAAATAATATAGCTATGTCAGCAAGGTCAGTCATTTAGGAATATTTGTGAACTGGTTCCTGATTGAGAATACTCTAAGAACCCTCTGTCACTCATTCCTCCATGAATTTTGGTGACTGTGGAACCAGAAGACTCCCTAGGAACAGCTGTTTCTGATACTAAGGCCTAAATGTAAGTGTTGGAAACTCACTAATTATCCCGCAGTAAAAGAAAATGCAGTGAAAGTAAGTCAAATTAYAGATTCCATTCCTCACTCTGAGACCAAAAAATAATATATGAAATTGAAAAAAGAGCATTCTTTTAAAGAGGAGTATTAATTAATGCAAAGATACTTTATATTTTTTAGCTCTATCAAAGAGTGTAGTAGGAGATAGATATGTTTGGGAGGGAAGAGGGTTTCTTTCAATCTGATAYCCACTTTAAAGGCCTATAAGGATATAATTTTCTTGAAACATAGAAAAGGTAATTTTCCCCTATCTTTCCAAAGATGATAATTATGGCCTTTTTTTTAGAAATAGATTTAAAAGGAAAAATCAAATGGTCTTTCATGATAATTTCTACTGCTTCTTTAGAAACAATCAATAGTGCTTCTTTAAACAAATAAACAACGTTTTTCTGTCTTTGTGGGATAATTTCTAGTGCAATGCTGCTGTCTATAACTTCTATCTCCATTCATTTCACTTGTTCACTAATACATTGTTTTGATTTTATTTTTAATGTATCAAATGACATTTGAGTCCACAATGCACAGAACAATAGGTTAGAACTGCAATATGAAGTTATCAGTCTTAGACCAAGTGACAAGCATCTCATGTATGTATTATGTGCACATTGGATATATGTTGTAGTCTCTTCTGCTGGATCAAGGTTCTGTAGGTTTCAAAATAATTTTTTWAAAAAAACAAATTACTTTCTAATTTGAAGGTTCACTGAAACTGAGAAGAGCTAATACCATGCTGTTAGAGGGAGGCAGCAGCCCTCAGATGTGAACTGCTGCAGGAATGGTGCAATGCAAAACATAGATGAGAAGTTCTGTGTGCAATCTTTAGACCACTCTTAGCCTCAATTAGTTAACAYGGAGCTATACAAATGAAACATTCAAAAATCCAGTGAGACAAAAAAAAAGAGGTTCCTAGCAGAAAGAGTCTATTAAATACCTTTTTCCATCAATCAAACTGCCTTTCCAATTTTACTGTATCAAGCAAACATCAAACCATCTGTAATTAAGTTGTGGGCATCTATCTTGTAAGATGATGTAAATGGTGGAAGTTTGCATAAATCCAATGAGCAACTGGATGAAATTTGTAAGGAAAATAAAAAGTGTGAAAAACTTCAAATTCCATTGGACTCAAGGAGATGGAGAGTTGTGAGTGGTAGGATGCTGGAGGAATGTTCTCAGGAAGCAGTTACTATGTGCTCGCTTTGTTCTTAGATGTTTCCATGGTATCTGCATGAGGCAGCTGTTCTTGATTTTTGCCTTGATGTTGATTTCCAGTCTATTATATAAACAAACTTTCCTTCTGAAAAGAAAGAGGAAAAAACTATSGGAAAAACAAACAATTGAGAATGACAAATGAGGGGGGAAACGAAGAAGACATGTAACTTATTTGGGGGAAATAAAGACAGGGAGACAGAGCAAAACACCGGTCAGAGGACTTCCAGTAATGACCATCCTTCCTTGTAGGTAGTCTTGGGCACACCATCTTGTAGATGGTGTAGGAAAGTAAGTAATGGACCTTGGGTCCATTYGTTTTTTGTTTTGTTTTAGCTGGTAGTGTCTTACATTAGTGTGTGTCTTCTGTTACTCTAAGATGATTACACAGTTTGATTTACAGCAAAGTTCAGAGCTCCACAGAGCTTAAAACGACTGTGTTTTGAGAATAGGTAWTTATAGTAGGATATTAATGAGGAGTCACTTTATGCACAAAGTGCAAATTTTGRTTTTGTTTCTATGGCCTTACATGCAGCTGTCTTTTTATTGTATATCACCCCTTTTCTTCATAATCGAAATCTCTGGTCTGTGTTGCTTTCTGTAACAAAATGAATGAAAGGACTGCTAGCACTCATACATATTTTCAAATCTATTGATTGTAGATGCTAATGTTGGGAACTATGCTAAAACCACAGTCTCATTTGCCACTGCTTGTGGTGCTAGTTACCATTCTCTAATGCTTTTAATCCCACTTCAGTCAGTTTTTGCTGCACATACAAAGTATTTTTCAGTCATTTCTCTATTTCATGTGATTTTTTTTTTTTTTTAGTGGAATTCAGGTCTTCTTATTTGACATTTTTTCATTGAAAGAAAATCTTGATCATGGTTCCACTTAACTTGGTCTAATAAACACCTCCACAGGATACAGTTGTTACCTCATAAAAATGGAGAACCCTCAATTTATGTTCTAATTTATGTCCATAGATTTTAATGTACTTTCTGAAAGTGATTTTATTGTTAAACAAACCATGATATCTTCATTATGTGTTAAACAAACACACAAGGAGCAGTTGGTCTGTGTAAGACTGTTAAACATTAATTGTTTTGCCATTTCACAAGGCCAGGAAAAAACTTTAGTTTTTTGCCCTAAAAGTGTACATGGGATTGCTTGATACCACAACAATGTAAAGAACATGACAGCCATAGAATGCTTATACATAGCAGAATACTGATTTAAAAAGGCAGTCATTGTTTTCCTTCTGTGTCTATGGATTGGTTCCTCATAATTACAGAAGTCATTGAAGMAAATTAATCTAGATTTTTGGTACTATTATTATACCAGATATATGTTTCTTTAAAATACTTCTTTGCTTGTTGAAATACTTTTAAAAAATAAATAAGTGCATTGCTACAGTTTATTGAGAATACTGCTTTCTACTCATGGGACCTGCTCTGTGGTCAATAGAAAGTCTATCAATTTTAATGGACTTGGGCCACTTTTATGGTTCTTAGCTGCATGTTTATGTATTTTCTGTAACAAGATGTAAAAGATTGTTGAAAATTATGAGTAATTTAAAAATCAATTTCTGTACCTGAGATGGCAATGTGTCCAAAGTGTTCTTACCTTACCACTTGACTTTACTGTAGTTTCACATAATAAAATTTCTGGAGTTTGGATTTACCTTTTTAAGTTTTCAGTAGTCAGRCACATTCACCTATATGAAAATATCTTTCTGGCTTGAAATTCAATAATTTCAAGTCAATTTTCCCTCTTTGTCTATATTTGTTAAAATACTGCATCATCATCTACTGCATAGTGCTTTTTTCCCCAAGGGATTTCAGCTTCATTCATAGTATGGAAAAAAAAACTTGTAGTCATGTGATGAGTTAGTTTATTTTCTGAAAGACTCCTGCCTTTTTTATTGCTGAATTTGGAATATGTAGTGGTTGAATGAAGSAGGAGCTGTAGAAAGAAAATTTTATTGTAAAGATAATTGGACTGCTACTCAATGAATACCGTTTCTGTCCTTGCTTCTATGGACTTTTCATGTAAGCTTAGAAGTCATTTGATGGAATTTTCTTTCCATGTGGCCTTTTTTTGGCACAATATGCATGCTGTTGTCTGCCAGTCATCTAAATTAATTACATTGTTGCCATAAGCTGTTGGCTAAAGAGATCATCCCAATCTGCTCTGGCCAGTTCCAAAGTAATWCCTGTGCACTTGTAGTACTGCTACTGCTGATTGTGCGTACATGGTTAGACAGATCAGCTGATCCAGCTGAAAACAGCATGCAAAAAGCCCATGTAAAACTATTTTTTCATCTAAATCAACTGTGATTTCAACTTGCTGAACAGCTTTGAAAATATAAGTGCCAACACATGGGCGGAAATAGGGATGCAAAGCTACCTCTCTCTGTTGATGGCAACAGAGCCTTGAGGGATTAACCTCACAAATTAGACATCTAAATTAGGTGCCAGTCATTAAGCAATATGATTATCCTGCATATGTTCTACTAAGAGTTTACATTTGAGAGTGTCATTGCACTAAATGCTAAGCACTAGCAATGGATCTGAATTTAATGAAAGTTGAACCTTGAACATACTGAGTAC